TTTTATCTGTGAATGAATCCATCATTCATACAATGACCACTCTCTACTACTACAAGAAATAACTGCTCTTGTTTTTATAAAAGCCCTTGAAAATGTGCTTAGTCACAGAAAGTACCTGGGAAGATCATTTAATGTCATCTCTTCCAAATATTCTTATTCTAGGGGTGCTCAATTCTCTCAGAAAATTGTTCCAACCTACCCACCTCAGTAATACTTAGTATTTTGTATTAGATAATACTCATGACATTTCCCATCAGCAGCTTTCTTTCTGCATGTCAACTTTGTTTGCTCAATTCTCTTTAATTCTCCTAGGTATTGATCACTATCACTGACCCCCAAAGGGGCTTTGGTGGCATGGTGGGTGAAGCACTGGCTATCTAGAAGGTCAGAAGTAGAACCCTCAAGCTGCTCCACGAGAGATTAGACCCTCAGAGACCCTAGGAAGCATCCTACTCTGTTAGGCATGGTTGCAAGAAGTTGGAATCAATGGCAGCTGATTTGTCAGTTATTGGTCTTAAATGGGCAATCTCATTAGAAACTAATTCAGAACCACCACCCCCAACCTGGGAGGCATGAAATAAATAGGGAAGGACAATAAGTACATATAATTTAGAGACATTAGGAGGAAGGGTCATGGGCACGCTAAGAAAAATAACGCAAAATGTAAAAACACTTCTGGGAACAGGTATAGTCTAATAGTTGTCACATACTTTCCCCTAGGTATGAAGATCTTACCATATAAATCTGTGAAAGAAGAGTGCTTTTTCTAATACAATACCCCTTCTTAATAACAGACCTGAAATTCATTTGAAGAACCAACATAGCCAGCCAAAAGACTACTTCCCTGTTGTCTGTTGTAGATACTAAAATAGTAGAGGACAATACAATATTGCTGGAGTCCACATGCAGTTGTTCAGAAAATCTACTCAATAGAGAAAATTATACTCTTCTTTAAGGAGCCATGGTGGCACAAGTTCAGCAGTTCAAACCCACCAGCCACTTGGAGAGGGAAAGATGAGGTTGTCTCCTTCCATAAACATTTGTAGCTATTCCAACACTCACCGTTTTTATAGTGCCCTTCACTGAAAATTTTAATCTGTACAAGTAAACAATCCATGTATTTTTATCTAAACAGCTGCCCTCTGTTCATATTTATTTACCTGTCTTCAACAGTATTTTAAATTCCATACAATTGGTCAAATTAATGATACTATCAATAGAATTATCATATGCTCCAT